TAAGAAAAAGAAAAGCATGATTTGGCAACTGACAAAAAAATGATATCTAAAAACATCATGTCCTGAAAATATACCAAACTTCACTATAATCACCAAAAGGAAGTTTAAAACCACAAATTACTTTTTAAGATTTAAAAATATTTAGGACATTGATAGGTGTACTATAATGTTGGCAAGCCTATGAAGAAACGTACTTCATTATCAATGTGTAAACACAATTTTCAAAACATATCTTTTGAGAGCTTACTATATGCCGGGCTGGATTTTATGAGCTATACCTATACTAACACATTTAACTCTTGCAATAATCCTACAAAGCAGTATTTCAGGCTTTACAAAAGTCTTTTCAGACTGAGTGTAGTAGAAAATACCTATAATCTGGACATACAGGAGACAGAAGGATCACCTTTGGGTCAAGGCCAGGCTGGGATACTTAGTGAGTACACCACCAACCTAAACTACAGGATATAGTAAGACTTTGTCCAAAAAGTTTTTCCAGTAAGCAATCTCAATTATTCAACAAAGATTTACTGAACTCCTATGTTGTTTTGTTTGTGGACCAGGGATCGAACCTAGGACTTTGTGCTTTCCAAGCAGGCGTTTATGCCACTGATATATAGCCCCAGCCCCCCTGAACTCCTGTTTTATTTAAGACACCACAAAAGAAATACAAAGTTTAAGAATGAGAAAAACAAAGATCTTTGTTCTAGCAGTTTACACTGTAGTAGAAAAGACTACTAGAAATTACTCAGGGTTTATTAGCTTTTCTGAAAAAACACAAGGAGGTAATGTGTTTCTGGAGTAAATAGTCTTCTGTCACAAATACTCAACTACATGTGCCTGCTGTAGTAAAGGTAGTGCACAAGTGAATGAGCCAGATGTGTCCTGTAAAAATGTAGTTAGAAAAACATAGACAGTGAGCTGAGTCTGGCATACAAGCCACAGTTTGCCAATGCCTGATCTAGTGTATTGAAAGATCAATTCCAGTCTGGTTAACTTAGCAAGACATTAGCTCAAAATAAAAAATTAAAAGGGCTGCACAGGTAGTTCAATGTGAAGCGTCTGGTTCATACTCTCACCTCAAAAGTATGTTTGCCATCAAAGAAAATAGGGTAGCATGTTTAAAAATCAGTAAACTGAATAATTATTCCATTAAAACAACTTTCAGAGTTCTGAGAAGTGACATGATCTTTCATTTTAATTTTAAAAGAATTTCTGTAATTCAAGATCATAAATGGACAATGGTAGAAGCAAAGAGACAAGTTAAAAGGTACTGAAGTAATACAACCAAGATGTCTGAGGTGGTTGAGATCAGAATGGTAGCAGAGTTGGTAGTGAGAGGTGGTCTAATCTCAACACAGCCAGAAGACAGCACTAATACAACTTCCTAACAAACTGTACAGGATGTGAGACAGAGGTAGAAATCAAATATGATCCCATTTTATTCTGTTTCACCTGAGCAATTAATTTTTGTTAACTCAGATGAGGTTAGGAGTAGAATAAATTTGGAAGGGAAATTAGATTGTTTCGGTTGGACATGTTAAGTTTTATATATCTGATCCATACCCAAATGGATACCAAATAGGCAAATGAATATGCAGAAAATTAAAGTCTAGTGTAGATATACTTGAAAAGCACCATGATAATACAAATGGAAATTATCCATTAAAATTTTAAAAGTGTTTTAAAATTTAAATAACTCTTCTCCTAGACACCTATCTTGGAACATAAGTAGTTGCAGAGATGAAAATACCACCTTTGTTTACAATACAGAAAAATAAGAAACCAAGATCACTTTAAAGATAAACAGAGGCCAGGGAGATGGCTGGGGCCAGGGAGATGGCTCAGTGGAATAAGCGCTTCCCTGGCAAGCACAAGGGCCTGAGTTCAATCCCCTGTTCCGCCAAAAAAAGTAAAAATAAAAAAAAAATAAAAAAAAAGAAAGATAAACAACTAAATGATTATGATACATCCAAACTAGAGAATACTTTGAAGCCTTTAAAAGAAATGAGGGTTTTTTTTAATGTATATGTACTAGATGAGAACTAAGATCCAAGGCATACTATTAAATGAAAAAGCAACATGAAAAACAGTAAGTACTCCGTGACCCTCCATTTATGTTCCAGACAAAACCAACAAAAAGGCTGATAGATGAGATGAGAATGTGGCAGATACAGAATGGGGATGATGGTAAAGGAGAACTTCTTACACTAGTACTTTTTAGAAATGTACTACTCACCAAAGAGTTCGCTATTCATCAATTAGTGATACACATTAAGTAAACATAAATGTAAAATTACAGTAATACTGCCACATCCAAATTAAAGTCTAGTGTATACATATGGCAGTATGCATAAACAGGTAGACATACAGATACACTGATAAACATAGGTAAATATACATATATAGATATACAAATGTATAGATATGTAGTAGTGCATACTTGTATTTCCAGAACTGAGGGGGCTGATGCAGGAGGATCACCAGGAGTTCAAGGCCAGCCTGGGCTCTGCAGTGAGGTCAAGGCTGGCAGATACTAGACGCTAAGACCCTTCAAAAAGTCAAAAGTCAAACAAACAACACACCAAAAAAACAGGAGTACAAATGAATTCCTCTCAAATTAAAAAAAAAAAAAAGGGGGGGGGGTTGGAGAGATAGCTCAGTAGATTAAGCATTTGCCTGACAAGTGCAAGAGCTTGAGTTCAATCCCCAGTTCTGAAAAACAAAACAACAACAAAAAAAAACTGTACATGAAAGGTCATTTTCCTAAATATTTCCTTCAAAAGTTCATGTAAAGAAGTTTTTATGTTTTATAATGCATTTGAGTGTTGTTTTCAAATATCCTATGACTTTTTAAACATTTATACATATCCATATAATCATTTGACTTACTTCTTTCTGGAACCTTTCCAGCGTAAGCTTTCGCTGCATTTGGTCCTGCACCCATGGATCAGCAGCATATTCAGATTCTAGAAGAGAAGTCCAGCAGTTTGCTGCATCTCTCTTTGTCTTAGTAAGAACAATGCGGACCATTTTTCTATCCTCTAAAGAAAAAAGTTAGGAGTTCATCACTACATTTTATATTCTTCAAAAACAATTAGGTAATCTTGACATACTACTGTTTTCAACACAGTGTTTATCTTCCAAAGCTACAAAACCAAAAGGACTTAATAGAAGGTACTGTACTAAGTTCCAACACAAAATTAATTTTTAAAAAAGTTCTATGAATTATAATAGAGTACACTTACCCAAAGTCCATGTTCCCTCATCAGCTATGGTAGAATCAAAGAGTTTGCCCTGAAAAATAAACACACAAAGTACTGAAAATTATAGCATTTCATTCGGTTTTGTAAGATTTCACGGTAAAAAGGGCTGGTGAGATGGCTCAGTGGTCTAAAGCACCTACTTGGAACAAGCTAAGCTAAGCAAAGCACAGGGACTGCGGTTCAATCCCCAGCACCACATGACAGCCAGCCCCACCCCCTGGTGGGCTGAGCTGGCCACACACACACAAAATAAATAAATAAATAAATATTAAAAAAAAGATTTCATGGTGAAGACTTAGTGCATTACAACACATCATAAACCACTGCACCACACTTCGAGGCACTCACCCTTGTTTCCTCATGGGTGACATGAACCTAAGTTACACGACTGGAACTATTTAGTGACAAGAAACATGAGACTCTAGAAACAAAGTGGACCTCATAACTTTCAGAAGTCGAAGAAATACTACTGATCACTGATTGGCATATGGAATGTTTTACCAAATTAAAATGAACCATAAGAAAGGATCCCCTGCTGAAACTAAGAAATGAGTCTTTTAATCTTAAAAAAAAAAAAAAAAAAAAACTGGGTCAATCTCTGTTAGGCAACTAACTGGCATTTAGAAAAACAAAGCACATACTGTACATTATCATGTCAGATCAGCTGTGCCTGAATTTCCACTAATTCTTGGTTGTCTGGGTTTTTTTTGTTTGTTTGTTTTGTTTTGTTTTGTTTTGTTTTGTTTTTGGTACCAGGAATGGAGTTCAGGACCTTGAACTTGCAAGGCTGGCACTATGCCGCTGAGCAATAGCCCTGGCCCCCAAACTCTTGTTTTTAAAGAAAACAGTGAAATATAAATTTAAGACAATGTATAAGATTAAATAATTTCAATTTGTCGTCAAATTGAATTACAAGAAACAAAATTAATAGGACACTCAAACACACACACACATACACAATTTTGCCTTGCCAAGCAAGGTGGCACCAGACTATAATCCCAGCACTTGGGAGACTGAGGGAGGAGGGTCACCAGAAGCCCAGCCTGGACTAGACAGTTCAAGGTCAGCTTGAACTAGAGTCCCTGTCTCAAAAATAAAACCACGTTTTAAAATACGGCAAAACCAATAGAAAAAAACCTAATGGTCTCATTTTAGTATACGTGCTGCCAAAGTCATCGGTCTATACGTACACTTAATATTCCAAAGTTATTTCTAAACTCACACGCAGAATTACTAAATCTGAACTGTAATCTTCAACCATCATTCAGGACAACTGGACTGTATAGCTTAGAGAAAGGTCATTCAGATCTAAATTGTCACAAAACAATGCCTTTGGCAGGAATCTTCTAAGGATAGAATCAAGCAGCTAAAACGGTGAGCTTTCAAAATACCAGACACTGGGGCCGGGGAGATGACTGAGTGGAATAAGCGCTTCTCTGGCAAGTGCGAGGGCCTGAGTTCAATCCCCGGTTCCACCAAAAAAAAGAAAAACAAACAAACAAAAAAAAAAACCCCAAAATACCAGACACTGTTCCATCACCTGGCTGCCACGTTACACTCAAAACAATCATATGAGAAAGGACTATTATGAGCACACCTAGGATTTTGATTAAGACTGAAGAAACACAGAATAACCTATTGCCTGAGATCACAAAACGGCAGAACCAGATATTCTATAAACAGTAACCTCCACCACTACACTACGCAGTCATGGAATATACTAGGCATATGGATACGAGAACGAAATCCAATTTCAATTAACTGACCTATATTACAGACTTCACAAAGAAAAAGTGAGTCCAAGAAGTTCACAGAAAGAAAAAAAAAGGGGGGGGTGTACAAGTTCTTTTCTTCACACGTTTCTTCCCGCCCTCTGATTGACTGCTCCACAACACATATTTCAGAAGAGAAAAATAATCCCCCCGACATACCTGAATCCTCATCGATACTCGATCCCTTCTATACCTTTCTACATACCGGGAAGGTAAACTCCTCCGCGCACGGACCCTGGACTCCTGGCACCCAGGTCCCTCCTCAGAGCCACCACAGGCACGAGCGCTGTTCCCTCAACAGCCTCGCTGGGCTGTCCTCGGCGGAGGACCCCCAGGCGAGCCAGGAACGGCACCCCGACTTGCTTCGGGAATAGGACGGATCCGGAAACCCCACACCTCAGGGTCGGCCCTGAGCGGGGTGCTCCCACCAGACCAACCCCGGGCTGCGGCGCGCTTTCCCTCCCCGCTCCTCGGAGGCGCGGCCCTCCCCAGTCACTCCTCGGCAACCTCTCGGGGGTGGCGGAGGCACGACCCCCGCGCCGCCTCTAACCTTCAGGATCTCGCGGCCCCCCACGGCCAGCGCCACATGCCGGCTCTGCAGGCCGCACTGGATGTCCTGCGCGCGGGTGCCCGGCGGCACCTGAACTTCAATGAACACCTCCTCCAGGGTCTGGTACCCCTGGCCCCACGGCGTCCCGCACGGAACCACCCCACTGCGTTCCTCAAACGGGGCGGACATCCTGCAGCGCAGCCGCCGCAGCCGCCGCCAGCGCGACCGGCGCACGCGCCGCAGCCCACACGCACGTCTCGCCCGCCGCGCTTCCGCCCCGGCGCGGCGCATGCGCAGCAGCCCACGCGCGTCACGCCCGCCGCGCTTTCCGCCCCGGCGCGGCGCATGCGCAGCAGCCCGAGCTGCGTTCTCCCAGGGTTTTCGTTTTCCCCCTTCTAGCTGCATTTAGAAAGACAACGGCAGGACCCGTTTAAAAGAACCGAAATCCAGAAAGGGTGGCATTCAGACAACGATAGGTGACCACTGGAACGAGTGACTCAGGAAGCCATGCAAGGCCAAAACGCAGCGTACAGGCATAAGCGCGCGTGCGCGAATGCTGCTAGGGCGTGAGTCACACCTAGTAACAACAGATGTAACTGGGCGAGGAAGGGAAGAGGCGCAGTCTTTGATTGGCTGGTAGCATAAATTGACGGGCTCGTGACGCATGACGCGCTGAGAACCCAGTGCGCATGCTCGTTGGGCATTCCCGTGCCGGATTGGTCGGCCACGGCCTTGGATTTTCCAATTGGCTGATGTGGGGTAGGCGGGGAAGTGACGGTAGATTTGAATTCAAACGAGTTATTCAACGCAATTGCTGAGGCGTTCTAAGTGCTTTTGGTTTTTGGACGTGGCTGTCAGCATGTCCTTTCCCAAGGCGCCCCTGAAAAGATTCAATGACCCTTCCGGTGCGTACGGGGAATGGGATCGGGAGTGGGGGGAGGTCCCGCAGATTCCCCTCGCTTCCCGAGGGCGAGCGTAGGCCTGTGTTAGGGCTGGAATGGACCCATCCCAACAGATTAATTTTTCTTCAGTGCTTACGACGTGTCTAACACACGTAAGCAAAGCACTGCGCGGGAAGCTGAGGATTCTGCCGTGACTCCAGCTGAGTCCCTGCGCCCCGGACTCCAGGCGGGAGATCCGGTCCTGTCAGGAAACAACCAGAGCGGGGGAGACCGACGCTGATGAGGGGCGTGGGTGACTCGCTGTGGGAAAGCCACGTCCGCGCAGGACACCCTAATTTAAAAAAAAATAAAGTGAGAGAGCTGCTTTTCATCTGGCTTTGTAGATTTGCTTTGGGAATTCGAACACAAAAAGGACTAGGAAAAACAGAAATGTCACGAAGCAGCACTTTTTTTAAACGCTGTCATTCTAGCCCTAGCAGTTTGTCACCACTTACCATGGTTAAGACTTAGTGGGCTCTGAATCTGAAGCCGACTTCCCAGGAGACTTAAATTTTGACTGGGAAAAGGAGTATATAACGTTATTGTTCACTGGGATTTCCTCATTTTGCAGCGTGTGTGGCACAGTGTTTTCTAAAGATTGTCAAGCACAGGTGAATTTAAACCCATATCGATTACAAATGACTTCCATTCCCATATCCCCGAAACACTTTCTATAAAACATTTCTTTTCCATGCTGCTAAACTCAATACTGAGCTAAATACAAGAGCTACAGCCATGGCCAGTTACAGTCTGACTTTAAACATACTAGTTTTCATATTAGTTGTTTCTGATATGAAAGATTTTTTAACGGAATAGATGATTACAAAACTCTAACAAGTTCTATGGTAGACACAATATACAAGCTCCTGAGGAGGGAATTTTCTAGCTCAAATTGGGAATTCAGAGAACTCGGAGTGACAACCAACTGAAATCTGTAGAATAAACGAAAGCTAAGTAAAATGGAACATGGACTGTCAATACTAAATGGAAGAATCAGAAACAAGTCTGGATGTTTGAAATTTGTTAACTATAATCCATATTATGGTAGGTTTTTTTTTTTTTTGCATGCAGGTGTTCACTCTGAGGTAGTTTTAGGTTATTGTTGATATTTTTTTTTTTTTTTTTTTGCATGCAGGTGTTCACTCTGAGGTAGTTTTAGGTTATTGTTGATAAAGATATAAATTATTTCAGAAAGCTATACTATCTCCCCGGATATCCATTTATTTTTGTCTGATCTGTGGATATCTAACCAGTCACTTTATGATGTATACTTAAATTTTGGTAAGAAAAATTCCATAAACGTGAAAACAGCGTGTACTAGTCTTTTGTAGAGTTAGTAAGTGTAGATGACTGAAGTTAAACCAATCTGAGATCATCTTGAATCTAAATTTCTGTAATTCTCAAAATTGTCTCTTCAGAGTCTTTAGAAGAGACTGTACCTATAGTCTTATATGTTCTCAACTTCTATGGTGCAGCTTAATAACTGACTTGTCTTTTCTTTTACTGGCCCCTATTTTCTTGGAAACCATAGACCCAGTAATGGACTAGAATACTAGAATTCAGTGTTTCATGAGTTTTCTTTGGGTTTTTTTGGATTGTTAGTTTGTTTTTATTTGAGTTTTTTGTTGGTTTTTTTTTTTTTTTTTTTTTTTTTTCCTGGAGGTTTTCTAAGTCTAGAGCAGTGCTTTTCACATTTTTCACAGAAGTTTCTCTAACAGAGAGCA